TGCGTGGGTCTTCGGTGGAATGGCATCATTTCCGCCGCTGCGCAAAACGCGCTTGCGGCGCCATTCCTCCCCTGTGCTGCTGGCCCACCCTTGCGCCCGCACGAGTTCCTTGCTGACGCTCGCTGGAGCGAGGCCCCGGCGCCGACGAATTTCGCGCCAATATGCGCCAATTGAAGCCCGGCCTACTTTGACAGCAGGGTAGCGGCGGCTTCCCTTACACCGCCAGACTCAAGAAAAGTACCAAAGAGCATTCTGTTCAGGCCAGCACAAAAATCAACCCCACAGTCTCCTTAGAGTGCACCCAGAGCGTCCCCGGAGTGCCCAGCCCCGTAGTCTCCCGTGCCCAACCCCAGAGTTTCCCTCGAGTGCCCAACCCAGAGTGTCCCCAAAGTGCCCAGCCCAGAGTCTTGTTGGAGTGCCCAACCCCAGAGTGTCCCCGGAGTGCCCTACCCCAGACTCTCCCTGGAGTGCCCAACCCGGAGTCCAGAGTGTCACCAGTCTCGTGCCCAACCTCAGAGTGTCCCCGGAGTGCGTTAGTGGCTACTGCGTGTTGTTTTGGCATCGGGTTTGGCCCAAGAGATCCGTGTGAGCCCTCCCAACACGGCCACCGACTCTTCCATCCTTGCCCAGAAACCCTCCAACTCGGAATTGTCAATTAGGCCTAGTTGACGAATTGTTTTGTGCCACTTCTTCTCCGTCCCAATTCCCCAACTTGGCCGTAGATTCGTCGACTAAGTCTAGGCCCTCAACTCCCCAACTTGGCCACAAATTCGTCAACTAAGTTTAGTTGACGAACTTGGTGTTCTTCTCCATCCCTCCCCCAGGACCACCCCAAGCCCCCAACTTGATCGCTCCCCAACTCCCCAACTTGGGCACAGATTCGTCAACGAAGTTTAATTAACGAATTTGGTGCTAATTCCTCTCCATCCTTCCCCCCCCCCAAACTTGGCCACTGACGAATCTAAGTGCAATTTCCTCTTCATTCCTCCCCTAGGAACCCCCACCTAGACCACTCCATTCCCACCAACTCCTTAATTTGGCCACAGACATAGACTCGTCAGTTAAATTTAGTTGACGAATTTGGTGCCGAGTCTTTGCCCCGGGCCTCCGAAGGGGGCCCGCGGACCAGACCGTCACTGCGGCAAACGCAAAACGACAAACGAAAATTGTGGTCAACCAACCTGGAAGCCGGTGATTCGGGCAACTGCAAGCCGCGGATTCGGAAACGGCTGATTCGGAAACTGAATCTGAAAGCAGGCTTGACATGTTATCAACCCCCCCCGCTCCCAGCGCACCCCCCCCCGGCCCCCAGCCCCCCCCCTCCCCCCGAATCTGATCGCGGTTTTCCAGAATCGCGTGTTTTCACGGTTTCTTTTTTCGAATCAGGTTTTTCCTGTTTCCGTTTCCGAATCTGCTGCTGACCGATCGGGTGGTTGTTCTGCGTCGCTTGGCTTCAGGCCGCAGGATTGTAAGAAGACTCTGGGGTTGGGCACTCCACGGATGAGCGAGGAGTAGACCGCGAGGAGCAGATTGAGATTAAAATCTAACAACCCCGGTAGGGAAAAACAAGCTGTGTGCGCACACGCCGGCGGCTAGACGCCTTAGATTTCCCAGAAAAACACAATACTTCCGCAGGCTCCCGTTCCCCGGGGGTCTGACATGTAGGCTTGCGGTAGCTCCGCAGAGCAAATTCAGACCCTGTTTTGGGATCTGAAATCTGTTCCGAGAGAGAGACCCCGCCGTATTTGACGGGATTTCACTACGCAATTTACTTCCATGTCGGTGTTGTTTTGCTGCTTTTGCGCAACGAGCCACCGACACTCAAATTCACTTACCGCCCAGCATACCGCGCGCACCCGGCTGCCAAATTGCGGTGATACGCGGTGATACTGGTTAGGGTTAGGTTGAGGCTGGCCGGCGCTCACCACCTCATCAGGATGCATAAAAGGCATGTTACTGTAGGGCTTTGTATGCCCTCATACGCGGACCCATGGTCAGAGGCATGTGCCTTTTCGGGTGTTTCGGCTGTCCGCTGTTGTTTCCATGCTCTGGCAGCTTTTCGAGGATTTATATTGATCGGCGAAAACATGATGAGTTCAACGAACTCCTGCAGGACACTTACCGCCCGTTGGCTGGATTTTGGTGATTATTTGCTTTTGTGAACTGGCCGAGTATACTGCGTGCATTCAAGGATGTCAATTTCAGACTCATGATTTGAGTGGTCACGTTGCGTTCTTGGTTTTTTTGCAAATCCCAGATCAAGGTGCGAAAGCGACGCAAGACAGGCAACTCTTTTGCATGCATGGTTCCAATGGCTGGCTATTTGCCACGACACGTCTAGTTTCCTGTGGCAAGATGACAAACACGCAAACATACTGATGTGTTAAACGCAACATTTGTTGCTGAGGCCCTGCCCACGTCGCACTTGCCCAAAAACGCCTGGAGGCCAGCCAGACTCAAGCGAACACGAGGATGCACTGCGCTTGTGTCGACTGAAAGTCGACGTTCGGTTAAAATTTAGCATTTGCTAGCTGCTACATGTTGCTACTACCTCAAGGAGGTTTATCCCGAGATGCGCTTGGCCAGGATGCCCTTGTGTACAGCCTGGCGCAACCCCTGGCATGCCAACAGGCTTCAAGGCGGGCCATGGGGCAAAGCATCGGGCAGTTCTCATGCGATGTGCCTGACTCGCGCGTCCCCTGAGGTACAGACTTGGAATGTAATGACCCTTACTTGTGGTGAGGAATTGCGGGATCAAAGTTACAAAAGCTAAATGAAGCAGGACCACTAGTGCTAGGCGGAAACCATGCGACAGCAAGGTCCGGAGAGTTGTCCGCGTCGAAGACTCTGAAATGTGGGGTCGGTATGTGGACAAGCGCCGCGAGCTTGGAGATTGGTACATGGTGTCAGCATCACGGTTCATTTTTTTGTTTGCAAATTTGTTTTGGGATGAATTAGGTGAGAGCATTGCCCGGCAACGAGCAGCAGCATTTCGGCCGCAACACCCTAAGGGGGCAGCTTGCACTGCATAGCAGCCAACCCTGAGACAGGAAATGCCAATAGAGCAGTTGCAGCCTCCGGCGGTCTCGAACGAAGTTGCACAGAAACATAGTTGCTCGGCATGTTTTACTGGTTTTTGTGGGTACGGTTCGTTTCCATTGACGTGGCAACCTCAGAGGGCGGTTTGGTTTTTCCATGTTTTTCCTTAATTTCTTCGTGCTTAAGGTTTAAAGTTGAGGGTTTCGGAGAAAGGGCTTGACGCAGCCTGTCCCGACCTTGAATCCTGCAAATTCACTTCCTTGGTGTATCTTGGTAGGTTCCCCAAAACTTCGATGTGTTTGAAGGGGGGCCTTTCAGGGCACGGTAGAGGGGCACCTAATATTTGGACACTTGTCAAAACGGTCTCCAGGTCAGACTTTTGAGCCGTTGGACCTTCAGCATCTTGGCTTTCCTGGCCTCCTTGCTGGGCTTTTTCTTTGGCAAGCGCAGAAATCCGGGGGTTCTGAACAGGAACAAGTAAATTTTGTAATACGAATGGCGCACAAGACAAAAGACGTAATGCATGCGCCCTTAAGAGTATTCTACAGGGTCAATCCCGTAAAGTGAGTGAATCTAATGTGAAGGCGGGCTTCCTTAGAATCTTCACAAGCCCGCCTGTAATGAGATTGACTCCTTGGTCATGCGTGTTGGCATTCAAAAGCCCAGGTTTGGAGCAGGAACATGCGATTCCAAGGGTGCGAACAGTTTTTGTATATTGTTTTTTTTTTTTTTTTTGGGGGGGGGGGGAGGTGTGCAGGTGGTCACATGGTTTTGCTCTTGGTAGGGGTTCTTCTTGAGTTTTCTCCTGCAGCTGACCCTAAGACCCCCCCTCATAGAAGTAAAGGCATCTGCACGGATTTAGAAGCAGTTATGAGTTCGTCGCGGGTTCTTTCCCCTTAATTATAATCTCATCGGGGTTATAACATGCGGTGCTTAAAGCCTCTCTGAAAGACATCTGATAATAGGGCGTTTGCCTACAGCATTACAGGGCGAAACAGGCTTGTTGGGCCATTATGCATGTAATTACATAAAATAGGGCTTTGTGCAGCATATGAAAAGACTCATTTCGCCGCGTGCGTGAATCCGGCCCTTGAGACCACGTCAACGCCTAGTCTGGACAGCGCTCGTCTTTGCATGAGTCTTACCGCAAGCGGCGGTACATGCACGCACCTTCAATGACATGTTAAAGAGGTTTGTTCCGACATAAGATGACTTCGCGCATTTCCTTGCAAGTCCGTTTACTATGGAGCGAAGGAGCATCCAAGACACCGGAAGATAAGGCTTTTACAGCTGCCAACTTGGAACCAGTGGATGAAGAGAATTAACCGCATCAACAACTCTCATTAATACAGGTGTTTTAGGATCATTTGTAGCACTCATTGTATTCATTCGCTGACTTTTTTGCTGCGTCCAAAAAGTTGAAAATATGGCAATAGAAAAGACTAATCGAACGATACCACAAGACACGCAAGTTGCCCAATAAACGAAATGAAGGGCAATTTGAGCTTTTACGACTGGACCATGAGGTAGAAACTGGAGGCTATTAACCCAACTCACGGATCGCTTCTAAGGTTGCCTTAACTCGACCCGCTTGGCAAGTGTCTGGCATTTGTCCATGCCCTGCTAGCTCTCGGTGGCCCATGTTCCTATATCTAAATGTTGGTCATAGGATTCAGATGGCTTGTTGCGAGCCCCATTCCATGTGTTGCAGGAGGCTTGTGCGTTTTGGGATTCTGATTTGTACTGGCTGGGGTTGAAACGACCTTCATGGGGGTTAACTTCTGTGACGTGACCGGTCCCCGGTGAGCCGGGTGCTGGAGAAGCCATTTTGCCGCAAGAAAGGGAAAGCTTCGGACAGGGAGTTTCGCATCATTTCATGTCAAGGTTTTGTGTGCAGGCCTTTGCGATCGGGAACGTGTGCCCTGGTGCATATACTGTGTTGGTGCGAAAGGTTAAACGAGATGTACCTCTGGCACGGCACGAACGTCCGCTCAGCACTCTCCATTGCGCAGAACGTTCCGTGGCTATCTTGCCTCCATAGCCATCATAGATCACCGTGTCGTGCGAAATTTTGCCGCCGCCCCAAGGATTTTCGCATCGACCTTGCCGGCAGCAGCACAGGTGAAACAGCCAGGGAAAGGGTCATTTACAGGTGGTGGCATGGTCTGCCTATCTGCATGTACCGACTATGTGCATATTCTACTGCAAATCATATAAGTCCTGTGAACGAGGCTCGTCCGTGAAGCGTTTTCTAAGCTAGACTTGCAGCGTGTAGAAGCTCGACCCTTGCGCATGCTTCCTCAGATCCGGCCCAGACTCTGACACACGGGCAATGAGTTTGAATATAGTCCCACAACGCCAAAAGGCACCATGTACGGACTGGGTGCCTACTTCGCAGAGCAGCTTTCCTGCAACATCCTGCAACCATGGCCAAAAATCAGAACCCAAGGACTTGAGACTGGAAACTTGAGTTGTAGCACTGTAACCCAATCGAGCAGCAAAGGCACTGCACCAAAGCAGATGAGTATGCGAGTGATGAGCCTGGTGGCTACTACGACGAAGTGCCTCTGCTCAAGTAAGCGCACTCGCCCCACTCAACCAGCTCGGCTACGGACAACCCATGCCACTGCATCCCCTCGTCGCCTCAGCTGAACTGATCAGGTTTACGCGCTGCTGCTTTGCCGGGTGTGCCTAGGAAAGCTGCTGAGCTGCAGTTGTCCGATGGGTCCTGGAGATGCTGTTTCCCACGCTCCGACACTGCCATGTGTAGCACAAGATCGTGCGATTTGAGTAACGGGGGATTGCAAGCATGAAGTTGCACCTGGTCGTCAGTCCAGCTTCTTCATGCTTCGCCGCTGTCCACCGAGGTTTTACTATACGAAGGCCAGTCTCTTAGAACTGGACGGTTTGGTTGTTTGATTCTTTATGGCCAGGAGATTGGGGGACACCTCCTCGGAGTTGTCACAGTCATGTCTCCATCCTTCGTATTCATGCATCCATTCAGGAAAGCCACTCGAGTGTTTCACTTCTCCTTGGCTTCATGCTCCGGTACTTGCAAAATGGAAGAAGTGCCGTGAAGCCTAGGATTCCGAGATGTAGGGGCACGGGCACCCACACACAGTTGAGAGTGCCATTGGTAGGCTCTTAGCTTAAGCTGCTCTAGAGTTATTTTCGGGCAGCAGGGTCGTGGGAGCATCTCTCATTACTGCTGTAGGCAGCAGGAGGGCCACGGATGTACCCTTCAGCCCCCTTCCCCCATGCATTGGCCGGTGGGTTGAGGGGAGACGGGGATCGAAGGGAGGTGGGGGTGTGGACACACGGACAGCCTGCTGCAGCCCGAAAAGATCTGAAGCTTCCGTCTGGTTCCACTCATGCCCGCAGGCTTTCGATGCCCTGCCACCCCAGGGCCCTGCCAGATTCGCTTGCCTCGAGGTGCGGGATACCGAAGCTGGATCACATGTGCGGAGCGGCAGCTTCGACAGCACCGTCGGGGATCGGCTGACGAGTGCAGCCCCTCGACAAAGGCCAAAACACAGCCAAGGGCAAGCACCACAGCTTGGAGTCGGTAGTAGTTCCCCTGGCAACCGAGGATACATTCCGGGAGTTCGTGTTGTACAACTCTGACGACGCTCGTTAGAGCGTGGTGGCAAGATTTTGCATTTGTTGAGTTTTCATATCCGGGTCAAGCACCGTTGGCAGCTGGATCTGCAACAACTTCGGAAAAGCCATGACGAAAGTTTGAGACTCATGACCAACCATTCTACGGAGGCCATCTATCCCGAGTACGTCGTCCTGTACACGCGGGTCTTTGCTTCAGATCCCCCAAGCAAGGTTGCAAGGCGCGCCTCCAAGTACTAGCGGCCCATAGAATGGCATCCCACAGCCGACACCGTACACCAGGAATCTCCCAAGCAGCTTCAGATCTTACTTGTCACGCTGGGAGGGCATGAATGTGGAGAGCAATGTCTGGAATCGGGGCATTCAAGTTGTTATGGTGTCTGTGGCTGTTACGTGTGACGGTTCGTCAGGCTCACCGCAGATCTGTATCACTTGCAGCTGCCTGTATACTGGGCCAACTGCCCCTTTGTTTGAAATTGGAGCTGCTGATCCATTAGCAACTAGTCCCGGCGATTCAGGGATGGTGAACCCACTGCTTTGACAAACGCGTGCTCCAGCAGATGGGGCTTGTTGACACATGCAGCTAAATGCTTCAGAGCGTGGCGATTCTCTCTCGGGCTTCTGATGCTATGACCAGCCAAGGTCACAAAGACCCTGCTCGCGAGCCATTTCATGAACCCTGGTTTCTCTAACATTCCGATGTCGTGTTCCCATGTCCGGCCCCCAAGCCGCACCCCCATTGCTTCAATGGTCTGACAAGCAGGGATCCCAAACCGTACAAGCCTGGAGATGCTTGTTTTTTGGGGTGTCAAGATGTTTTGAATGGTTGTTGCTTTCCTCCACTCAAAGAGTGGAATCAATCCTCTGTGACGCACATTCAAGGACCAGTTCTTGGTCGCACAGTACACAGAAGCTTGGCCGGACTGCCGGAAATCGGTTCACGTCGTGTCTGTTGGAATACTGCATTACGCCGTTACATGGCGAAGTTGGGGCAAAAGATCGTTGGATGCTCACACGATACATTTGACCCGATAGTTGAGCTGGAAAGGTCCTTCTGCTTCAGGAGAAGCTTGGCCACATCTTGCTGCCTATTTAGTCGTTATCAGCTGCGCCCGGTTGATGTTGTAGTCAGTTCCTCCCGGAATGCGAGGTTGGCGACCGCGTGCTTCAAGGGCAAGACGGGCACAGTTGAAATCGTTCGTGCCAAGCGTGTCGAGCGGCTGAGCTTGAACCTGGTGGGACCTGAAGCCTTCGGCAACTTGCACAGAGCAGCCACAAGTCTTGCAACATGTAGTGCAGTGATGGGCGTGCGGCTTGCGTTGGAACTGTTAAGCCTAGGCGTTCTTGTAGGAGTGCGCGGATGAGCCTCCTTTCCTAGTCGCCTCAGCTTTCATGACCACAGCCCTGTCGCCAGAAGTTCGACATCACGGGGTGGTGGGCGGGGGGGGGGGGGCCGAGAACGCACAGCACACAACCATATGGTATATGGGGTCCCCATTTCAGGGACCATGTAACTCACGAATGTAAGACATGGGCTTTCCGGCAAAATTTCTTGACATCATTGGAGGCACAAGCATGTTGGCCAAACCGACTAGCCTAGGCTGCTCCAAGGATGGTCGCGTTTTTGCACCTCAAAGACCTTTCAGACCTATGTCTGGCGAGAAGAACGGCTGCCGGCAAGCGATAAACAGCGATAGCATGAAACAAAGCGGAACAGAAGGCTGAAGAGACTGAGTGCATGCCATGAAAAGGGTGCAGCGAACTGAATAAATACACGCTTGAAGCGCGCGAAAGAATGAACGAAAGAGTTGTTGTCATGTGGGGGGGTGGTCAGGAACCCGGCCCGCTTCCCCTTCGGCAAAACCCCAACTCGTGCGGCTCCCAATTCCTACGACCATGTTAAAAGCACAAACCCAGGAACTCAGTAACCTGGCAGAAATATGTCGCGTACAAGAAGCCGCTAAGCTGCAATGGACGGACATATCGAGGCCTCATCCCTTCCAATGTGCTGTTCGTGGTACAGTCTGTGGAGCACTTTGCATCCCAAGGAAATTGCAACAACAGATGCAAGGGCTGCCAGGGCCTTGGCAATTCCGAAGGACATTTTGGTTGTCTAAACGAGCATTCAATGTTAACGTTGCGAACGTTGCGAGTGGACTTTTACATTGAGAACCGATGGCACAATGATGGGGAGGATCTGTTGCTGATTTCCATTCTGAAACTGCAGGGCGGTTGACAGACCTGAGCGGCCGTTCCTGACAGCTCGCGACCTGGATAGCACACATGGCTTCTTGGCATGAGCTGGCTCTGTTTGTGCCTTAGTGTTCTAGTTGTCAGAAAGTCTCTCGTAAGCGTTCCTTCCCCAAGCGAGCTGCAAGAAGCTTGAGGACTTGGATCTACAGAGGGCCTCGTGCTTTAGGACCCTCCTCTACTCAAGAATCATGGGCTTTGTGTGTATTCTACCTTGGGGCCCCCAATATAGACTTCTCGGGGTCCTTGAAAAATTAACACCCTTTGAAGGAACTTAACTAGAGCTGTGGGCGTGGATCCCTGCCCAAGATTCGTCGTGTAACCTGGGATTTACCTGGGAGACACCTCCCCGTGCCTTCCCGAGGAGGGGAGATTCTGACGTTCAGCTTCCTCAACAGCCGGGACTCCACCGAAGAGTGCGTGCTGTCCTGAGCATTCGCGCGCAAAGTTCCGCCTTGGCCACTCCTTAAACGTTACGTACCACACGGCAATGGTTTTCACTTGTTTTCATTTCATTTTGCCGCCAATTATTTTTGCTGGTGTGCATGTTTTTTGTGGCCAGCGACTAAGCACTGTTCGGTTTGCTGCATGTCGCAATGGAAGAGCGGCTGTTTCTGCCTGTTCTTCCCGTACGTGGGGTTTGGGGTTTGGGGTTTAGGGTTTAGGGTTTAGGGCCTTCAGAGGTGTCCATCACGAACTTGGAGGAGCCATTGAACGAGCACCTGCTCTGGCCACTTTGCAGCAGAGTTCGACATATATTGGGCATGACGATGGGCAGTCCGGCGCCGGCGCTATGTGTGTTGCACCAATGAAATCGGCAATTTAGGGTTTGGGGTTTGGGGTTTGGGGTTTGGGGTTTGGGGTTTAGGGTTTAGCTCACCTGTTGTTTTTGTTGTGTGCATCTGGCTTCAAGGCACGGCACTTCCAAAGAAGCTGCCGAGAAGATCGCCGAGAGCGACTTCAAGATTCCCGTTGGGCGACTTGTTCTGAGACCGCTCCCGGGGACCAAGGATCAGAGCAAGGAGCTTCAGAGTTTAGGGTTTCAGGTTTAGGGGCTCAGGGGGGTTTAGGGTTTCGGGTTTAAGGTTTATGGTTTACGGCCAGTCCTCAAACCCAGTTGCAAAAAGGGTTTAGGGTTTAGGGTTTAGGGTTTAGTGAGCTCGAAGACAGCAGGATATTGCCCGGAGTTTCATCTTACAGCTGCTGTGGCCCCTCTACAAGGAGCCACAGGCAGCCTCGAGTACCAAGGAAAGACATGAAGCACGCAGCCCGCTTTGGAAACGGCGCCTATCTAGCTGAGGACTTGGAGAAGGCTGGGCATGCTGTTTAGGGTTTAGGGTTTAGGGTTTAGGGTTTAGGGTTTGCGACTGTGACACTTCCAAATTCCAAGCCAGGGGTAGAGCAAAGGAGTGAACCTGACGAGATTTTGACTAGCAAATACTCCTCCAGAGATGTGCGCGAACATGGGAACCTTAGTTCACCACTCTAGATTTGAAGTGTCCGGCAACGCCCCATCTGTTTGACAAATGTTGTCGTGCTGGCCTCCCAATTTATGGGGGGCAAACAGATAATTGAGGAGGGTTTGAGCGTTTAAAGGGGGCTCGAGAGGTTTGCTGTTGAAAGGGTAGGCACAAGGACGAATCTTCCGCAATCTGCATCTGCACATTGCTGCACTTGGTGTTGTATGGGGTGTTTCCGGTGTTTTGTTTCTTGAGATCAGGGGAGTATTGAGTTCCGGGAAGTGGATATCATTGTTGCTAAACCCTAAACCCTAAATGGCACGGTCAAGTCAAGGAGGGCCAAAAGGAGGCCTGGGATGTTCCCCTATTATACTAACGGTCCTTTGTTGGGGATTATTAGGGATTATAGTACCCCCGATTGTGTTCCCCTCGGGGGCTGTTGTTGCTGTGAGCGGTTTCGCGCGGGAGGCTTGAACGCTCCGAGGATGGAGATGGAGGGGGTGGTTCAACCTTTGCTTGAAGCCTTCCTCAGAGTTTGTCCTTCAATGCTCGTTTCTCTCTAGATTGATGTCTTTCTCGTGTCTGGCATTCGATGAAAAGCGATAGTGCAATCGGGCGTTGCTTGGACATGGAATAGAAGCCTGCTGCTGCAGTCCCTCACCTACGCGGAGCCCACAAGTGATGGCAACCGCGTTGCGTCTTGGCGAACTTAAAGAGTTAGGGGCGGCGGGCATTGGACACTTGACCACTAGAACACACAGGTGCCAGCCTGAAACCGACGGCTTTATTTTGCAGAGGTCCTCCTTTGCAGAACGCTCTGTGGCGATTTCTACTACACAGAGAGCCACACAGAAATCAATGCTGCGCAGAAACGCGCCTTGGTTGGGATCGTGTATCATGTGCGTACGCCTTGGACCTGCCAACTGCTGCTATTTCACATGCTATGGGGCTTATGAGCACTTGGGCAGTGCTAGTACACTGCCGAAGGTTGCGGTAGTAGCCTGGTGGTCTGATTTTGCCTTGTCTCCATTGAAAAAAGTTGACGGTCTGCTACTCCCGGGTCTGACTGCTCTGCTTTGCGGTTTGTGATGGTGCTTTGAACTGCTTACCGGATGAGTTGCCAGGGCACGAATGCGTGTTGGTTTCTTCCGAGGCAAACTAGCTCATGCAATCCATGTTTGAGCCCTTGTCGCCCACGAACACCTTTGACCTGCGCTTGACATGGCTTGTTGAGAAGTTGACAGCGCAGTCTTCTTGATGTTTCAGTCTTCAAAACATGTCAAGACCAGTAGTTGTAGTCAGAGCTGATGTATCAACAGTCGCCATCACATCGCAACAGCATATCTCCAAGAGAACGGCCTGAAGATAAACTGCTTGGAGTCATGCGCCCAGGTGAAGCTCAGAGCAAGCACTCAGTCCTGGCCAATCCTCTGGGCACCTCCCCACACACAGATGGGCACCTCTAGGAAGTGTCGTTTGGTTTGGGCCTGCACTGGCGTTAGCGAGAAGCTCTTCACGACTGATCGCACGCTATGCATTGTGAGTTTGAGTTGTCCTTTGGGGTCTGTCAGAGCAAGGCCATCAATCAACAACCTCCACAAATGCTTGTGTCATTGGAGTAATGCGGGCGTGCGCCTCCTGACATCACGTCCTCTGTTGGTAGAGCTGGTAGTGCGTGCCGAGCTCCATCTGCCATCTCAGGGCAAGGGCCGCGAGAGTTCATTGTGCCGAGTTCGGACCAGGTGTACCCCGACGCTGCGCAAGCAATGGCTTGACATAAGTGTCGCACAAAACGCCTTGTGGTTCAATACGCCATCCCTCGTATTCTACTAGACCTTGCCACCCTTGCTGCAAAAAGGAGTTCATTCTGGAACTCAAAGTGACAGACTGGGAGCCACCTCCTCCCGCACCAACGGCCAGCAAGAGCAAAGCCATGGTCAGAGGATTGCAGGGTTTAGGGTTTAGGGTTTAGGGTTTAGGGTTGCCAGGCATCGGTCGAGTGGTAGTGTTTGTGATTTAAAGGTGAGGGGGAGCTGGCCATGAAATTGCAGCTGCCACAGTGGACCCGGCTGTACTTAAAAGCATGTTTCAATACATGTTTCAATACTTGCGGCAGGGCAGAGGCCAAACTTTCCCGTGTTCCACATAAGGAAGTTAGCCAACGTCCTCGTGCCTTCCTGATGTTGTGGCAATGCCCAGGCTCTTGCCTTTGAGTGCAATGCCACATGCCTTGTGTATTCGAGGCAAGGATGCAGACGACGAAGTTGCAGGTCAATGTTCCTGCAGGCATGGCGGAGGGGCCTGCCTGCAGCCATCCCCAGGACCTCCAAGCCTGTGCCACAGAAGGCTTCTCCAGCTCCATCTTCCCACTGCACGCCAGCCATTTACAGACTCCCCTTAGATTTGCCCAGGGTCAAGTCAACAAATGTCTAGCTTTTGCATCTGCATCATAAGACCAGAGCCGTTGTCCAAAGGCGTCGGGCCAGGCAGTTTGATCACGGTGCAGGCCGCAGCCTAAGGTGGGCAAGGATACGATGAGTAGAAGAGGTCTCCGTGCGTCGCGTCAAGCGTACCCAGCACGCCTAGGCCCCTGATGGCCGCCAAATCCAAGTCATGCTGCCGGCAGGTGCAGTGCCTGGGGTCACGCTCCATGGCTTTGCCCAGTTTGCCTTATCCCAGGCTCCAGTTGCTAGTTGGAGTTGAGTTGAAAGCTGAAGCGACTAAACCTGAACCTGCGCTCTCAAAACAACTCACTTTGTCAGCTGTTCCAAGCTTGGATAAACGCCGGCAAGCGTTTGACATCCCGTTTTAAGGATTGAGATCGAAGTTTAAGCTGCTGGAACCCTTCCTGGGAGCTGGCTGACCATGCACCTTGGAGTTTTGTAAGGTGCTCGAGTCTGCTAGAGGTGGCGTGTTTACGGTGGATGGACCAGGCACCCGATGTGGGATACGTAGGTCACGCGCGATGTAAATCGAGAGCTTCTGCGCGCTCTCGCAGCGGACAGCATGCCAAAGTCTGTCGAGGGTCATCAAGAGTCCAAGAGCAGCTCATGTAGGTCCCACCATTACTTGTTCGGCAGTTGAACAGAGGCCTCTACAGCCTGGTGTTGCATGGAACCAGCCAGGGGCCTGAGGCCATGGGCAGTGGAAGGCTTTGGTTCTTCTTGGGCGCAAATCCCTTTATGGGCGTGTGGCTTGTGATGCGGTTGGGCTTGTAGCTAGGACCGCACAGCACAACTGCTGTCTGACACCTTCCATCGCAGGATTGCACTGGTGACATGTCCCTGATCGCCAGCTGCCGAAGTGCAGAGTGATCGGCTTCCAGGGGTTGAACCGACGTTCCATTCGCGCGACGAACGGGATCTCCGACTGAAAAGAAGTGTGAAGTCCATTCGTCCAGATCGAATTTTACCAGGCTGCAGGACTTCAAGTCTCAGAGAAACAAGTGGCGAATGATCATGCTACAGGGCTTTTGCTGCTGCACGTGCTCTTGCTCTACGGCTATCTACCGTGGTTGGACGATTCTCGCTCAACTATGACGGCCCTGAGCCAATTCCAGATCTGTGCATCGCGTCCCAGACGCAAGTCGGATTCCCTGGACATTCCGAAAAGGATGGGGATGTACCTGATTCACCTGACATTCTGAAAGTGGGACCTGCTGAGGTGCCGCACATTCCGTAGCCTTGGGCTCAAGCCGACGCAGCAAACGGAGGGGCCAAGCAGAAGTGGTGGCATTTTTTCTAGGGCCAGATCAGGCTACAAGGCTGAAACTACCCGCAGAAAGTAGTATTTTTGTCTTGGGGAAGACTTGGGGCCCTCCGCCTCAGAGGGGCAGCATGGAAGTGGTGCCATGGAGCCCACAAGGCCTGAGTCGACCCCAAGCTGTGAGGGAGCTCAGAGCTGTGGGCTCCAGGATCCAGGCGCTGAGGGAAGCTGAGACATGCACTTGCCCCTACCCCCTTTCATGACAGCAATCATGAGAAGCAGAGTACTGGTTAACAAGGAGAATAATACAACAATAAATTATTTATATATATATATAGATAGATATTAAAACCAGTGAATGTAGTGAGCGAACTAATGAGGGCAGAAATATACTGGTCAAATGCTCATTAAGTTCGTGTAGTTCGTGCGTAAGTTTACACATGCATGACTTTAGCAGGCTCAAGAGACCCCTGAATAGTAACAAAACAATACGGGGGGCCTTTGCCCCACGAAATGAAGATCACTTCGTGCAGGAATAATATTATGATTGGTGCACAAAAGAACCCTTAAACTTAGCTTGTCGTATGACTTGCAGGGTTCCTTTGGCCCCTGCAAATAAGCTAATCTCGCCATATTTTTAGTTTAGAGCGTACACGCGCAAACTTTAAATGCGATAAATAATAAAAGTGCTGAACTATGCAGGGCGCCCCTGTTTACTGGGGTTCGTTTTCCTTTTCGATCACGCCTGCATCTCACATCTTGGGTTTCATGCTACACAACTCTATCATTAAAGGAGTGAAAAGAACGCACCCTCGAATCTTCCTTAGCGGCCGTATTGTGGAGAGGTTTTCATTGGCTTACCAAACGACCCCTGTCCGAGACAATTGAGTAAGGGGAGGAACTGCTGCTTGCATTCTCCAGGCTACCCGCCCACGCCAACATGCGCACTGCGGCGCAGCACCTGCACTCTGCGCAGCGCTGGCCCTTCAAATCGGCGCCCAGCTCATCACGTGACATCACATGTCATGTGCCCGTTGTGCTTTCGTGCTTACCAAGTGAGTGCTGCTTGGCTCCCAGCAGCTTTGGATTTCCAAAGTCGTGCTTTGAAACTAGACCCAAGCTCGCAGCAGAGTCACAGTCACAGGGCGCGACAACCAGAATTCATGCGTGGTGAGGGCAGACTCCAAATGGCTTGAGGCTTCCTGGAAGAGGTTGTGCCGCGTGTGTTGAGGCAGGATTGTAGAGGCACGCGGCTGTCAATTGCGATATATTGTATATTTCACTAGGTCACTTATGCTGAAACCCAATTTAAGATATCAAAAAAAGATTCTTCTATGACATCATAATATACTATTCCTTAAACCAAGCGCTGAGGTGGCAAACAGCAAAGACCATCTCGTGCTTGCATCGCCCGATCTTCCATGCAGGCTGGGCTCCGGATTCTAGAAGGCCGGTTCTCCTAATCTTCGGCCCCTGTTGTGGTGCCTTATATCTCAAGGCCCGAAGTTTGCTACGGTAGAAACCCCAAACTGGGATCCTGATGTAGAAAACCCCGCAGATACAAGCCATTACAGTTCCACTGCGAAGCCCTTTGGCATGCCGGCACGTCAGGGTTTGAGCAACATTCTTTTGGTTCTTTACGCGTGCAGCGCGTTGCGCACCAAAGGCGGGGCCATTGCTTTGCGAGGAGCCAACTCCTTGAACCCCGAACATCCCGGTACCCTCCCAAGGACTTTAAAAAGGACCTCAAACTGTATAAGGGCGCGTAAGTTGATCCAAGAATTCCAAGAGCTGCCCTGTCTAAGGACTCAAAAAGGACCTCAAACTGTATAAGCTAGCAGCTAAGTTCATCTAAGAGCCAAGAATTCTGCGCAGGGCCCCTTGGAGCGGCATCTCTGGGAAGCCGGCAGCTTCGCCTAAGCTTAAGCTGTGCACCAGGTGCCGCCCATGGCGAAGTAAAGGTCCGCAAAAATATAGTGGGTATGTGATGGGGTCCCCCTTTTGAGGGAGAATCTAGCCTGAGACCTACTCAGGCAATTCGTATGACCTGCTGGAAGTGCATCTTGGGAGCAATGAGTTTAGCCCACTTTTGTTCAACTGTTCGGCGCAAGCCTAGCTGCACAGCTCAGCTCCAAACTCGCTCATGACTTGCCTCTTCATGCCTTGTCCATATCTCCTGGGGTCATACAGCAAAATCCTTTCTGTCTCCTGCAGATGAGGACAGTACGGCAAGGAGAGCACACGATCAAGCTCAAGCGCTACGCCGCATCTTGGATGAAGTCCACGACATAGCACTGCGCCATTGCTCGCCCCAACAGCTCGGATTGGTTTACAGCCAACACTTTGTTGTTGAAGCTGGCCCTTTTTGATATGGACCATGGTTGCTCTCGTTTGAGAAACGGCCGTTCTCTATCATGCCTGCATCGTTTTTTGGGGGCCGGATTCAGCGTGCCAGGATCAAACCCTCAATCTCCCTGCAGACTTTGGGCTTAACATAGGAGTCGTGCGACTCCTTGTGGGGATCGGCTGCCTCACCTTCGTAAGGACAGGCAAGCTAGACAAGCAAACAGCAACTTCAAAGATGCGTTTTGTAGTGTGTGCCGGTATTCGCCCCCTTCGAACGGTTCACTCTCTTGGTGGACGTTCATGCCAATTGGCAAACATCCTTAGGCAGCTTTGCTTGGCCTGAGGCGCGTTTCTACGCTCTGCAAACGGGAGAGTGTGCCATGCATTCGCGCAAGGTACGAAATTTCGATTTGTGTGGACTCACGTCACCCCTCCATTTTGCAATCGTAAGCTGCCGACGTCCGACTATCAGCCTGAGCGAGTGCAATTTTTCGTCTTTTTTTAGCACGTGCAGTCGCTTGAGGAACAAGGCAGATCCGGCAAAGCAGCTGTTCTCATCCTTCATGACGGGCCAGGATTGCCTTCCCGGCCGCTTAGCTGTCTTAGGCCCCTTGACATGCTAGCCTCTAGTTGACCCGAGCGATCTGCTGAGCAACTTCATGTGGCCGTGGCCATGCGGTTATTTGCACAGAACTTCGCTGAGATGTCATTGAACTGGGACTACATCACTCTCATGTGCTTTCGCAAGTTTGGTCGGTGAGGTATTTGGAGCCCCTGGCAGCTAGACTCTGTGCCGGCAGAATCTGCTTCATGTGCCTCAGATGAAAAGGCTTGTCGCCCTGTTCGGCTACCCAAAGGTTTGGCAAGGTATCCAGGGACATCCAGCAGGCCTCTCAACGTACATACGCAATGCCGGATCTGCATGTTGGAGCAACTTGCACACTTCCCGTGAAGAATGGCTGGCTTCTTGAACTTGGCTTTGACAAAGAATGGCCTTCAAGTCACTGCAACTCGCGGACTGTTCTAGACTTCTAAGCCGAGTAAGGAGGAAGTGTGGGGGTTTGCATGGATCCAAAGGGCCGAAATTGCAAGGTACGACCAGTTGGGCTGTGGCATCTCTGCAGCGAATGGCAGCCTCAGCGAGGAGGACCTTTCCAGCATGGCAGAGCATCGCCAGCTTCGCTAAATCAGAGTGGGTTAATTTCGACGATGCTTGCGTGAGCAGCCGCTGTCCTCGTGCGCGGGCACATTCCCGAACCCGATAAGGCAGGAACTAGTAGCTACTACGTATTGCCTTTTGGGACATCGGTTTCAGCGGCATGCCGAGTGGAGATTTTCCAATATACAATCGAAGGCAGAGGCAGGCAGCAACAAACAAGAGCGTGTGCCCGACCAGACCCTGTGATCACAGGGCGAGATCCAGCCTGCTGTGGCCGACCTTCGCGACGTTCTCATGTTCCTGCGTGAGCTTGGGCAGGCCGACTACGTCCACGTCGAAACGACAGAATGCCAGAGGTCTCGCCGAATATGGCAAGGCAAGTAAGGTTAGCGGCCTGGAGGGGGTCAAGCAGGGCAAGTGGGACAAGTAGCAGAAATCAGTTTGACCGATCCAGGGAAATGAGGAGACTGACGGGTGAAGAAAACAACCAGGAGACAACGTCGGCTAATGATGGTTGATGATTTCGCTGCATGTCTTTTTTGGATTCGTCTCTAGAATACCTTGACTCTTTGTTCATAAATGTCTAGTGCGACGTGCCTTGCCATGATGTGGCCATAAGTGCTGAGTAGTGGTGTAGGTGTTTTTACCCGGCTAGCGACTCAGAGACCTAAGCCCAGCTTCGGCAACGTCAGGCCGAAGTTCATGTCGTGGCACATGGATTCGGAGGCGGGCGCGAGGGTGACATTTTTCCCATTGTCTCCACAAACCGTGCGATGTGTCTCCGGGTCCTCTAGGTTTGCGTCTGTCTGCATCAAGCTTTCCAAGAAGCGCCCAGCAGGTGCACTCATCATGCAAGCCATGGTCCGCGATCGGCTCTGGAGCGATCCAGCCGAAAGCCTCATTCCACAGCTCAAGTCGGTTTGCTTGAACCTTGCACTCTAACCTGGCGAGGTTCAGCGGGAGCAGTGTTGTCGGCTGTGTCCAGTTTCTATGCCCACCCTGTCAAGACGCCATGTTGTAGGTAGCCCCCCCCCCCCCCCCCCAATTTTTTCGGTGCCTTGAAGCGCCGATGCCCAGGCCTCCTTCGCTGCAGTAGATGGCCCTGCATGAATGCAGCCCATGAAGCCTTCGCTGAGAAACCAGTTTCCATGCCGACCAGCAAGGATTGGTGTGCCCTGCAACGTGGCGCAGGCGGATGCTGAGGCTCTGTGGCAGCAGTGGGCAGAAAGTGGAGCTTGTAGAGCTGTAGACCTCAGACCCAGTCAGCCGCATCAGTTTGCTTGGTCACACTGCGTCACGCGGAGAGATGCTGAATGAGTGCCTGCCAGGCCCACTCTCTCATGGAAGCATGCGTCGTGGGCTCAGCATCCTTGGCAAAGGTGCCAAAATTCAGAGCTTGCAAGTGTCCCAGTAGTGCTGCAGCAGACGCCTGCTTCACTTGCAGCATGTGTACTGTGCAGCACCGGACCTTCCTGCAGATGCCCTGCTCTAAAGAAGCCCCATTTCAGCTTTGCCTGATCCTGATCGTATCTCACTGGTGGAACGCCAGACGACTCAGGTGACGGAAGTTGGAGATTCGGATGCCGCAAAGTCCTTTTGGTATCGCTGCTTGGACAGTGTTCTGGGATGTTGGCTCCAATCCGGCGAACACTTTTCAGTTGAAGAATGAATTGCACCAGGACTCCCAACTCTGCTAACATGCCTGATCCAGCGTGGCTTTTCGCATAGGACTGAGTCGAGTTTGTTACAGACGGTGGTACATGCTCGACAATGTCCAGAGTCTGAGGGCTGCAGCTTCATTTCCACCGAAGGCTGAGCTGTGAATTCAACCTCCACCCTTGCAGAAAGGAGTTAAGAGGTGAATCATGCAGTTCTGTGTATGCGTCACAACTAAGGCCACGTTTGTGCACTGAAGCCACAGCCGGAATGCTTGGGTGAGGCGCAGAATTCTCAGAATTTGGGGCTGTAGGAAGTGGCAGGAAGTGCTTTTGAGAGAGAGAGAGAGGGAAGCGAGAGAGGGAGAGAGAGAGGGGAGACAGGGGAGAAAGTGCCAATGGGGAGAGCGGAAGTGATGCCGCCCGCCGTACAAGAGACCCCAACAATCCGGGCACTGAGTTGTTTGCGGCAGTACCTACCCTTGACCGCTCTCCAACAAGCCGGACCACGGAGACAAATAAGCACCACAGTGGGAGCACCAAATGACCATGAATGCCATGCCAAAAGCAGCTCGTCATCCTTCGTGTTTAGCACGTGCACCACTCCCATGACCCCTCCCAATGTCCCAATGGGTGCTCAGTCACGGTGCAGATGCTGCTAGATCCGGAAACGAGCTGTATGTGTAATTGCCACACTTGCTTCATGAAACCAAGCTGTTCCTGATCCGTCACCTCGTGGCTTTCACAGACAAGTGGACACATGCTCATCCGGGCGGCCCTGGCAGACTACGCGAGCGGGAAGGAGGCGAGCAAGGAAGGAAGGAACGACGGAACGACGGAACGACGGAAGGACGCAAGGACGCAAGGACGCAAGGACGAAGGAAGGAAGGAAGAAAGAGAGTAGGAGAGAAAGAGAGACAAAGCCGGGGCTCTTCCTCGCGGGTGGGCCTCTTCGCTATTCACCGCTATTCAGAAGAAGAAGAGAAAGAGATGGAAAACGGAGCGAAAGAGGGGGAAAGAGAGGGAAAGACCTTGAGAGAGATAAGAAGAGAGAAGCGCATGCATGGAGCTCTGTGCAGGCCTACAAGTCGAGCTTTGGTCAGCGATGGGGACCTCTTCGTGGTGCCTTGATGGTTCATAGGTGTATGTTGGCGGAAGGCCCTACTAGCTGTAGTCAGAATGAGCACCAGCTGGTTGGTCAGATTTTCTGCTGTAGTCGCTGCTCTTTTCAAGCGGTTGCCGGCAGCAGGCCGACAGCTTGTAACATAGGAAAGGCAGTTTTTGAGGGCAGGAGCCATCACAAGCCAAGGCAAAGCCGAAGTGTCACTTCGCCTGCTTACTGTCGCCGATGCACTAAGGCTGGGACTGGAAGCTTGAGAGCCCCGATGGGACGCTGGTGGGACGCTGGATGCTGCGTGGCAAAGGTGACATGGACTGGGCTGCAGCGTCTGCTTGGACTTAAAAAGTTATGCGCACAGCTCCTGGCAGGTGCCCTGCCAGATTGGGACCTGAAGCGGACAGAGGTCGAACATCTCTACGCGCGGGAGGTGAGTCCGAGATCTGGTACATGGGATTGCTGATGTAATGCGTCAACTCATGCCTGTCCCACCAAGCAATTACGCGGCCATGCTTTACACTGTTTGCACAGTCTGCCAAGCACTAAACAGTTCTTGCTGTGCAGGCCAGCTTGCCTCCGATCTTGTGCTTGAGAGGGCAGCACGACTTCGTGACCAAGGAGGGTCGGCTTTGTCTGTAGCATGTGCAGGTGATGACCTCTGAAGATTGTGGCCTGGTATCTAGCGAGCGGAGTTCAGTCCAAAGCTCTCCTATTGGCATTCAAATTATGTTTAACGTCATCCGTTCAAGCCTTGACATGCCGTCGCAAACATAATTGCAGGGTAGCCACAGCCCCGACCAGCGCAGCACGCTGTGCTGACGCTGCAACCGGAACGAGGCCGTGCTGCGAAAAAGCCCAACTTTTGAGCAGGACTGCCTCGATGCATGGCGAGGCGTTGCAGATGCCCGTGGCAGAGCAAGCGGTACCTTGGCTTCCACCCAAACCTAGCACGGCGAAGGTCTGGGATTTTTGTGGGCCTTTCTTCAAGATTCCACACACACACACGAAGTGGTATAAGTCAGGTTTGTGGACAGTTCAGCAGCTTCCTGGCTAGCAGTCGAAAAAAGCCTTGTTCATCCTTGTTCCAGAAAAGTTGATTGCCGTATCCTGCCCAGGCTACTTCACAGAGAGCGAGCTAGGAGGGTGCGGCCACCATGCACACCTGGAAGCTCCAGACAGTTTGCTGAATAGCCTGCCTTTTTTTCAGACCAGAAGAATGTGCGTAGAAGGGTTGGTTTCGGAGCCCGCCGCGCCAAAGCGTCGGAACATCTTGCGTAGGAATGTCAGAACTAGGTGGACTGAATCCGGCTTCCAGACAAACTGCCAGATTCAAAGCTCGACAGCACATCCAGGATCCAGTGGCCGCTACGCTACGTCTTTGGCTTCTTGATGTGGAGGACTGTGGGAGTCATGAACCCGTGAGTGTTTTTGCTGATGTTACATCTGCTGGATGTGCCACATATTTGCCCTTCTGGGCCAGCGCAGTGCCATGCTGCGATCAACTCGACCTTCACTCAACCGATCTGTATGGCCTGTATGGCTCACCAGTAAGGATGGTGGCTTGTTCCGCTGCGATGAGCCTGAACCACCACCAGAGCATTCTGCTGCGGCCAAGCACTGCCGGCCGCTGTGGCGTCAGCCTTTCTCAACGAAGCACGCTTTCTTTTGCCATTTCTTCGTTAAACCCGATATTGAAAAGCTTGCTTGGACATTTCTGCAGAACATGTCCTTTGACTTTCCCGTGCACGAGCTGCCAGACGTCTCTGCGAGGTGAGGAAGCCAGACAGGCGCTGGCAGATTGGGCCTCGCAGATGTGCTTCCCGGCAATCAACATTTGGAAAAGTCAACAGCTTCACTGGTGATTGCGAGCTTGGGGAGTTGAACTCGGCCCAAATTCGTGAAGCATGACATACAGGGGAGCCGTCGGTGGATTCTATATTCCCCCCCCCACCCCCCCCCCCCCCAACCCTCCCCCGAAGCCTCACCTAAGCCTGGTTGGCTATGTCTGATAGGCGCAAGAATTCTATCAATAAATATAATACTAACATTAAGAATATTCATAGTACTAATCATGTTAATAACAAGCCGTCTCGCCTCAGGTTGGGAGTCCGCACGCCGAGCCCCAGAGAGGCCAGGAGCCTGGCGATCTGTGGGCCAAGGCCTGGCAACGAATCACCCGCATACCGCAGCAGAATCTGACTGTTGCAACTGGATACTCTTTTTTGGACATGTCGAAAAAATTGTATCCAGTAGCTTCGTAGTGTATGCATGAAGTGTAAAAGTTTTGTATTACAATGTAGTGATTGGCATTTTGCAAAGTTATTCATGTCTCCGCTTCGCTGCGGCACCATTCGCCCACGTGCGGCCGTACTGGGTTTCCCAGCGAGCTTGCGCACTAGTGGAGATCTCGAGCTGGGTTTCACGTTAGGGTGGAAACTATCGAAGATCATCCGAAGACCCCAAGACAAACCAACTGCCTGCTAGCAGAATTGCGTGACGTCCGGAACAATCAGTCTACACCTGCAAGCCTTCGCCAGAGGCCTCCCGCACCGAGACGCCTTTGCCCCATCACGTACAGCCCGGCGACTGGCAGAGTGGGCGTGGGAACTGCCGACACAAGAGCACCTGATTCGCGTTCATCATTCTTTGGCATGCTGACAGCATTGCATCGCACAGCGCCACATCACACAACGTTGGGCTCTGCTTGATCTGACAGATCCGCTGCTTCGCTGAAGGGCGAGGTGTGACGAGTATTGGTACTGGCTGAGGTGTGGCTCTGCGGCGCAGACCAACACGCCAGAGGTCCCCGCACTGCTGTTCTGTTGTTGAGGAGCTCGTCTCATGTCTCGCGCGATATTCAGACATGCACCAATAAGACAGGGCATCGTGGGAATACACATCGAATCGCGGAATTGGGTCTTAGGGCAGGGGAGGGCAAGGCCAGATTAAGCCTTGGAAGCTGACTGGCAAAGCACAATCAAAGCCCAAACACAACAGGTTTGCACCATTGGCACCCTTCTGGAGGAGTGGGCAGTGCTCATGTCAAGAACCTGGTTTGCTGTTCCCGACATTAAGGTAGGCTACCAGGCTACCCGAACCAGAATGCATGTGGTGAACTATACTCATTCATCCCAATTTCTGAAACTTGGATAGCACTTAGCATGGGACAAAGCCCCACGGTCACTCACTGGCCTTAACCTTGAGTTCAGTCAGTACAGGTGTAGAAACGTTATCACGCAAGTTTGTAGCGAGGTTATCCTCTTGAGGTCACCTGGGATATGACCCTGGCGTCACAGGACCCACCGGCAGTTCAAGGTACTCGATTGGCCTTGGCCGTGCTCGGCGACAAGGACGTCAGACATCGATAAGGGCCGTGATGTTCGCAGTCCTGTACAGAACACATAAAGGAAACCAACTTACCGCCAATTCCGAGGAGCGTGACTTGAGAGCAAGCACCATGCGAAACACAGGATTCTCACTCATGTAGACACTCTGTTCCAAAAGGGCGTGGTTTGAAGGCTTCTAGAGAAAGCTAAGCTTGGCTAAAAGCCTGCCGATTCCGAGCGCACGAAGGATTCAGCAAGGAAACAATGCACTGGACTGGTCGTTGTGCTCCTGCTCTCTTGACTTTCTTCTAGTTTTTTTCGTTTGCGGCACTAATTGAAGCTCATGCGTTGCGCTTGTGCCTGGCTTGCTGTTTTGCCAATTCGTGTTCTGATGTACACAAAGCTTCAGGGGTTGTGACTTGACAGTATCTTGTTTGCTTTTGAGCCTCTGGGGCCGGCTGATTTCTGGACCTCTTCACAAGCTAAGACGTATCTAGAAGTTCAAAAGCCAGAAACTGACAAAGAGCAGATCTATCCGCAAGCTGGATCAAAGTTGCGCGCCTTCAAAGGAGCCTTCTCCAGTGCTGGCGATCGCTGCTCGGTGGCATTGACAGATGCATTTTTCCCGAGCACATGGGGCCAAGCCAACAGAGCCCGTCCTCTCCAGGTTTGCTTGGAGGTCGCTGGCAACCCGAGAGCATTCAGGATTGTGGGCGCTGCATCAGATCCAAAGAACAAAGATGGCCAGCGAGCTGCGTCAGCATTATGACGATGGTGTTAGCGAGAAGGCCTGGCCCTAGGAAATAGAGTGTCCTCCGTGTCTTCATGCTGTTTCATTGCTGGTCCTGAGTTTTCTAAGGCTTTACAAGTGTTAGGCTCAGAGTTACGGGTTGGACATGTAGAATTTGCGCCGTGCTCATCTTGATCTTGAGCTGTGGCTTAAGGAGTTTGCGAAGAAGCGGTGCGCGAGGTGCAGTCGAGATTGCCCTAGAGCCTTAGAGGGAAGAATTTCTGGCGAGCAGCCACCGGCTTTCTGAACAGCGGCCACCTGCGCTGTATGTGGTGGTTCCCAAACCCGGGAGTCTCCCTAATATACCCCCAAAAATGCCGACATCTTTTCAGAAGCAGATGTTTTAGCACTGGTACTGTGCACTCGAGAGAGCACCGCTCAGCATGGAAGGCTCTGAAACCCAGACTCCTGCAAAGTATCCGGCTCCAATTCCAAGTTTCTTCAGCTGGTGGCTAATATTGTATCCAAACGTAATGGAGTCCCACCAGTGTGCCTAAGGCAGACTGGAGGGTACTGCTATGGCAGGCAGAGAAAGGCTGCTTTGGTGCAGCCTAGCCCATTTTCATGCTCTACGGCAAGGCTCCGCGCAGCTTACCGTGGGAATGTACATGTACATTAGCGGGCCTGGACCAGACACAAATTATGCAGCCTGTCCGGTCGTTGTGATGGCGTTGGAACGCTGGAAAAGAAGTTCCTCATGGTCCAGACCTGCGAGGGTTTCCTGCTGGTCGTGTAAAGAACACGTGCAGGGCCAAATCGATTCAGTCAGAATACTGCAGGGAGCAGAACACATCCTAGTCCCGAGTGGGAACAGGCGTTCTGAAACTGGATTCCATCTTCGAAGTAGGCAGTTGCAGCGAACCACACACACACACACACACACACACCCGCCTCGCTCAAGGTTTCAGAATGCCAACAAACGGAATGCGGAGGATGGGGGATTGCTTAACCATAGCGAATTTTCGCAGCACAGCTCTGCGGCTGCTTTGCCCATATGCTGTCGGGGTTTGGGTCCCGTGCTGGGACATGCCTGTTCCTAGCTGTGGTCGGCCGGAAAAGCGCGATCAGCTAGCAAATCGACCAAGCATCAGCATCCAGGCCTTGCACGGAGAGACTTCATTGACTTGCATCTGCCATAATGCCTCACACATTAGCCTACCATGCCTCAGCCACTCATTCGAAGCTTGGGCTCCGCATGCCACTGGAGATGAATACACATAGGTGTCAGGATGGCCCAAAAGACGTGCAAATTAATTAGTATTCAAGTCCTGAATGCTCAGAAGTAATCCAGCTGGTTCATGGAGTCAACATACTGACGAAAGGCAAAATAGGACTGGACCTGCTGGGCACTGTGCCATGCTCCAGGCCTAAGGAACAAAACGTGCATGAATCGCATTGAAATCTGGCGTCGGCTTCCCATTGCTCCGTGTTCTTGCCGCTCTTCACGAGAGGGGGAGCTCGGAAAGTATTTGCGCCATCAAGACCTTTCTAAAGCAGTTCTTGTCGTTTGCAGGTGCCCAGTGCGAAGAGCTGCCCGGGGGATGAGCACTGACTGGGTTTGTCAGTGACCTGGCTGAGCAACCTTGTAGGACTTCATGCGGCTTCAAATCTTCATCACTCTTCAGTGGGCAAGGCTAGGTAGTGGACACCAACACGTCAAGCAGATCCATCGCTTGTCCTCGTCTGCTTGCGTCACCACGGTGGATCCTGCAAGTACCGTCTCGTACTTTCCAGGACTTTCGGGTAGCATGTGGCAATGTGTGGCTTCGGATGTGGGAGCTACGACACATCTTAGGATGATAGACAAAAGCAGCGCGGAGGGACAACCCTAGTGAGTAAAGCCGGGAGTGGCTGCAGCGAAACATGGTGAAAGGGCCTTTTCAGACCCTGGGCTAAGCAGTTAAGCCGCACACAGCTGGGCAAAGCTGCCTAACCCCAGCTGCAGGTGCTGTAATAAGGCCAGCTGGCGTTTGCACCTTGATGGACAGCGAACCAACTCGCAGGAGAGGAGCTATCCTGGGAAACGGCTCGAGAAACTCACCAGCTGAAAATGGGTGGCAAAAGGTTACCGGTGGAATGGGTGGACCAGAACAAGGCCTCATCTGCCCGTTTGTTCCTCCACATGGATGGCTCGGCCCATATGCATTGGAGCCATGATCGGCCTCGCAATGGTCCAATCTCCCGAAAGTTCACTCAGAATCTCAGGTTTCCTTCTTGCGGTTCTAGCGCCGCTCAGCTCGATGAGCTGCGTCGGAGGCATCCAACCGGCTTCGCGCACGATGAGGCCTCGAGCTTTCTTCATGCAGTGATGAAGGGATTGGCGGGTCAAGGCGGTGAAATGTCGAGTGGGCCCGAAACGAGGTTGACTTGGGTCGAGGTGCTTCTGAGCGGCCGGCTTCTTTATCCCAAGAACTGAAACTTCAGTATTGGATGCTTGTTTTTGCAGGGCTGCTATAGTCTCCCCATCCATGATCTCCAGACCTGAAGCTAAACCGAGCTCTCACCCATCCACCCGCCAGCCAAGCAACGCATACCCCAAGCTGCAGGACCCCACGCTGCGTGTATGTACGGCCTCACAAGCTGCATTTGGTTGGGTACCGTACCTGTACGCCGTACGCTAGTCGATAGCAGCATCTTGCCCCGAGCACTTGCGCATGTTCCAGTTGTGTCTGCACTGACCGGCTTGGACCCATCAGATGGTAACAGAAATGTTAATGATAATTACATCTGGTGGCAGTGCCTCCTGGCCATTCAATCAGCTACTGGACATAGTTTCGGTTCGGATTCCGCAAGCACAACCCTGCACACCTTTGGGGCAGCTTCTAATTAGAAGACATGCAGTGTTCAAATCATCCCTTTGCACTGGTACTTCAGAGCTAGCGAGGTATGTCGACGGCTGCCGCTGCCTGCCAAACAGGAGACGTGCCCCGCTTCGCCACAAAATCTAGCCGCATCAGCTCCACAATGTTCCTTTATGCGGCATGCTTCAGACTGCAGCTGGCTCCGTACCCACATTGCTCAGAGCCAAACATCTGCTGGCAGGAAGACCCACCCCTCGACGACAGCTTTCTTGCGGGAATCAAGGAGGAGCCTGGTTCCAGCCAGGTTTTAGTGAATAGGGGTTTAGGGCTGGCTGCAAGAGACCTGGTTTCAAAGAAAGGGGTTTCGGGTTTAGGATAGAGTTGAGGACTTGGCTGCGAGTAAGATGAAGGGGCTCTGCATTGGATTTCAATTTCGGCTGCTCATTTTCAGGGCGACCATCACCCCAAGCCATGGAGGAACTCGCCTCCATCGAAGAAAGCGAGCAAAACATACAGGCTCTTTCGCAGGCATCTTGGCACATCCCATATGTTTGGCAGGTCTATCGTGTTGAGATCGATGTTGATGTTCAGTCTTTTCAGTATTTTTGTTGCTTTGCAACTTAGGTCAGCTGGAGCTTATAGCATGCGTAACATTGCGGTGCCTGCCCTCCCTCGATCCTGCAAAGTGGATTGGGCATTCATACGCCCACAATTTTTTGAAAGCCACAACAGCCCCAGTAAAACCGCAAATCGTTTTGACGTTGCATAAGAGCGCCCGGGTCTCTGCAGCTATGTTGGCTGCTAGATCAGTGTGTGGGACACTGTACGAGCGTTTTCAAGTCAAACAGGCAAGCAGGCGTTTGACTGGCTTTCTGGGGTTCTCGGCCCAGGAAAAGGATCGTTTTCAAGTCAAACAGGCAAGCAGGCGTTTGACTGGCTTTCTGGGGTTCTCGGCCCAGGAAAAGGATCGTTTTCAAGTCAAACAGGCAAGCAGGCGTTTGACTGGCTTTCTGGGGTTCTCGGCCCAGGAAAAGGAGCGTTTTCAAGTCAAACAGGCAAGCAGGCGTTTGACTGGGTTTGTGGGGGTCTCGGCCCAGGAAAAGGAGC